ATATATATATATATATAAAATATCCATTCAATAATTTTTCAAGAATATTTTAGAAAATATTAAACGTACACTCATAATACAACTATATACATATATATAGATATATACTATATATGTATATATATATAACTATATAACTTTACTTTATGTTTTTGTACCTTTTTTCATGTACACAGAAGAAAAACTATTAAAGTTAAATGTGACATATGAATAATTACAATATCATAATTATGCTTATTAATTTCTAATCATATGTAAAAATATAGTTCATCTTAGAATAAAATTTAAAGACAATTGAAAGTGATATACAATACTTTCAAAGAGTAACAATTGATTTGTACGCTTCTGGTATACATATATGTACGTAGTAACCTTGGACTTTGAACAATGCTCGTCTGGAAACGATCATGATCTTGGCAAAAAATTACTTGACTAACTATATGCATAATATGCACATATTTTAAATTAATATGTATTAATGCATCATATTAAATGTGTCCCCTTTAAAAGTTTAATAAATTCGTATGATATAGACCTCTATCCTTACATAATTTAATTTAACAATGTTTTCTATAACAAATACTATTTTATAAATTATTTTTTCTATATAAATATAATAATATATTTTTCCCAATTAAAAAAAGATATATATATATATATATCTTTATCTATGTAGTATATCTCATATAGTTTCATACATATTAAAAAAATTTTTTCTCTGGTTTTATTTAACTATAAATAATTATTAGGTAGAAATTTTACGTAATCAACATACAAATTATATTATTGTATTGATTTTAATAAAAATTAAGAAAATATCTCAAAGTCATAAATAGATATTTTTAAGTTTAATGTGCGTGTAATTTATGCCTCGAATTATAGATATAATTTTTAAAGAATGATCGAAAAATATAATTTATTGAAACATTTGTAAGTTAGAAAAATTAAAAATATTTATACTTTATTATCAAAGTTACAATTTTCATCTGGAATATATTGTATAAATGTAAGAAGCATTTATGCATCAATGCATTTATGTACTGCAATTGTAGCTTCTTAAGTAAGGTCAATTAGCCTATTTCCTCTTGATCCACAATGTCGTTTTTATCGTTTGCAATAGTATAGTATTAGTATATTTTGAACAGCACAAATAACATTTAAACAAATAATATTAATATTTCTGATTTCATTTCCAATTTATATAATTTTGTTAAATGTTTATATCAATAACAAAATGATTAAATAGTTTTTTAAATAAATTTGAATTTTTGAGAATCTGGTTGAAAAAATAAAATCTCAGTGAAAAATTGTTTACGTTATCTGCCCAGTGTTACTTTACTTTAGATATTTTTTCATACTACATGCATTCTGTACAATTATTCTGTATTTTAAAATTTCTTATAAATTTGTTATAAATGTAAAAAAATTTGTTGCCTACTTATGCCATGTAATAACACATAAAGAATATTCAACTTTCTTGAGTAAATAATTGTATAAATTTTTTCAATTATATAAATAATTGAAAAAAAATTTACAATATATTCTAAGATCAATTTTTGTAATATCAATCCTAACAAAAAACATTTTTAAGTTGATGATATTTTATGATATAATATATTTTTATATGCTTCAGAAGTTTAAAAATAGTGTATATATTTTTTTTGTTTTTTTCTTTCGATCATATTTTCTTTACCATGAAAAAATTAATTTAAATAAAATAAAATTGTTAAACAAAGTGAAAGTATGTTTTTAAGATAACTAATACTATATTTTATTGAATATAGTATAGTTATAAAGAAACGTTAATTTTATTCGCATATTTTTCAAAATAATGAATCTTGTGTTCAATTACAGATATTAATTATTATACAATATTTTTTAAATCAACTATTTAAAAAAAAAAGATTGCTAATAAATTTATTCCCAATGTATATATATTCGAATTAGTTTACATATTGATTGTAAGATAGATACACGCACACATATACAGACACATATGTATATTGTATGCGTAATTTGGGAAATATTCCACCATGACAATGCAGTGGAAGAGATCAACACTAAAAATAAGTTGCAATATAAACAGTGATGTTGCATAAAATACATATTCGAAATTCTTTATTAGCAATTGTACATATAATATATATGTACTGATGTATGACTAATCGTGACACCTGTCATCGTTAACTGTAATAATTTGTTTTACATTGTGGCACTTGAGCATCGAAACAAATTCGTTGTTTTCTCTCGCAACTTTTCTGTCGAATGGTTCAGATGCAATTGTATATAAAAGAGTGAAATGTATTATCCAATTTGATGATTAATGTATAATTATTTCTCCTGATTGAAGCAACAACAGTAATATAAAAACTCCGATATCTAATCTGTGCACGATTAGAATATATTATAACGTTAATTTTAATATTTCTTAAAATATTATATAGCAATAGATATAGATACTATCTATTATTACTTATTTTATTTTGATTAATTATAACGATATAAAAATTTAAAAAGAAATACAAATGAACAACAATGCCGAACACATCCATCCAAAATTTATTTTTATTAATAAAATATTTTCACACACAGTAATTTATAGAGATTGAAACATTTCATTTTCTATCATGTTCTATTTTTCTATTATGTAAACATATTAGATTACAGTATGTAAATATAAAAATGATTTGGAAAATTTATATAATGTTGTAGAACAAGTGAACATTAAATTTCCACTACTGTAAAAATAGTACCATGTTAATAAGAATATGAAATTATATACTTTTTAAATGGAAAAAAAAAATATCTGATCCTATTTGACAAATACAAAGTGACCAACTACAACTGATCTTATTTGACAAATACAAAATGAAAACCAACTATTTTTAAAATTCTAATTATTATTATTATGTATCAGTATATCTTATGTAACTTAATAACATATATATTAAGTACTCAGAAAATTTTTACTCCGAAATGTGTTTATTAAATAAAATGAATATTCTATTCATATTCTATTGATTCTTATGTTTATTAAATAAAATGAATATGCAGTTGATTAAGCATAAATATTTGTAGATATGATTAGAATATTAGAATATTTTTATTTTAATTATTTTGAGAATAAATTATATAAAGCAACGTGCTATAAATTATATAAAGCAACTAGAGATGAAAAGAAACCACGGGAAAAAACGGACAAGAGTAATTCCCTCTCTCGTTCACCGACACGCTATACGAATTTTACAATATAATAGAAGAAAATATTTGACCCTATTTTAAAAACCACAAAGTGACTATGAAGACAAACTATTTTTGAAGTTTTAATTATAGCTATTTGTTGTACACTCAATATTGATAAATTTTTGTTCAAAACTTTTTTTTATTTAAGCGGCCGCAAATGGTTGAAAAACTGTGTATCGTGTTATATAACAATATAAAAATATTAAACGTTTAAAATTGAAAACTACATTTGCAGCGAGATATATGAGACATCGATTAAATTTTATAATAAACAATGTATATAGTAAACAAAAAATGGCAAAAAATAACGATAAATAATGATAAAAATACAATACTAAGCAATATTATATTTTGGATTAATTTTAACTGTGATAAGATCAATATAATGTTTATTCAATCAAAATGAATAGCATTATTTACCATGATTTAATACAGCAAAAAATTTTGTTTTTTCAATACAATGTTATAATTTCCGTGCATTTAAAAGCCTCAGTTTCCGGCTGGCATGAAATTTTGAGGCGATAGGTGGAAAAGAAGCAAGGCCCGAAATATAAAATTTTAGCTTCGGATTTTTATTAGTTTCTGGGATACTAATAAAAGATTTTACAATACATTCAATTCTACCTTAGTATATCAATTACTTTCACTGTAGTAGTCATCGTCGTCAAGTATCGAGTGCCCCATTTACAATCAATATGATTAAATTTCATTTTTTTGTTAACTTTTCTTACGTTATACTTAAAAGGTAGGAGTTGAGGTAGAAATCGATCGTGCATAACCGATGTCGATATAGAAATGAATAATTCTGATTTAAATTGATACTGACTTTAATGCACAAAAAGTTCGGTAGTTTTTACCTGATTTAGAACACATTCTATCCGAACGAAATATCGATGGATTCGCTTAGCGGATTAATTAATATTATTTGAAAACTGAATGAACTTGACTTATATAATGAACTGGACTTGAGTTTCTTGAATCTGAATCACTGAACTTTAACCTGAATGACGATCGCTAAATTGTAATCACTTCACAGTCCTCTTATATAAGGAGATCTTTACCAACCCTTTCTAATGGACTTTGAAAAGTCGTAGAGCGGGGGGCATGTCAAGATCAATCAAGAAATGGTCTCATTTTGAAAACTATCCCGTTTCCCAATTAACTGCACAATACTTCAGATAGCAAGTAAGCAAACATGGTTTATGACATGGCAATTATCATTGTGCGAAAAATTTCTCTTGAAACTAATTGAGATTCATGGGGGGAGGGGGCCTGACTATAAATTCTCTA